TTAAATGCAGTAAACCTGAAAACTCGGTGATGATGTTTAACATTTCACATTTTATGGATATGATGATGAACTGAGATGAGACCACTGAATCTCCCTAACTGATTTGGGAATTAAAAAAAAAACGATACAAAACTAATGTATGATAAATATCACTGCTAGTATGAATCAATGGGACGCATTTCGAGGACTCCTTCATGACCGTTATCTAAAAAGGTACCAACGTTTGTTGAAACTGTAACCTTCTTTGTGTTTGGTTTCCTCTCAGACGAGCTATGAAGGAGCAGGACTTCACACAGGAGGAGAACTAAAAGCTGGACAGGTGAATATAGAGAGATTCAGACGAAGTCTTTGTAAGAGCATGCATATGTGTTGCACACGTTGCTGTGGACCTCAGAGGCTGTGCGGACACGAGTGTTCCTTAGAAGCAGCTTTGCTGGTGAGAGTGTGATGGTGGATCAGTGGAGGACTCCTGGACGTCCACTGGGTCTGGATGTGGGGCAGGCTCAGGCTCAGCAGGGGCCAGTTCCTGTGAGGGCGAGTGGTGGCGAGACGGCGTATCAGATGTGCCAGGGTTGGAAGAGGCAGGTGAGGAGGGACCATCTGTTTGCAACCGATTCTCTAGAGAATCAGCCACGAGTGAAGAAGAGGAACAAGATGAGGATGATGATGATGGGGGCCTGACAAGTTGCAGTGGGGCAGAGTGTGTGCTGGAGTAAGAGGTTTCTCCCGCTGTTGAAGCTGGTATGTCATCTTCCTGTTGCACCACCAACCCTTCCTCTTTCACATCATCTGTAAGAGTCCCGCCCGTGTCCTTGTTGTCTGCTGAGGGGCCTTCCTGTCCTGCAGGGTTCTGATTGGCTTCAGGGACGTCTTGGTTAGAAACACTGGTGGATGGTGATTGGCTCTTGAGCTGCGCGTGACAAAGTGGACAAGTTTCCTGGACATACAGCCATTTCTTCAAACAGCCAGCATGGAAGAAATGACTGCACGGAGTGATCACAGCACTGTTCATGTCCTGCAAAGAACCAAATTAAACACGAGGATGAGTTTCTAGGAGTTTTTGGACACGCACCATCATTACAAACATTGCATACCTGGAAACAGATGGCACAGATGTCATTGTACTGCTCCAGCTGTGCGTTACTTGCAGTTGGGAGGCTTTTGATTTTGTTGACAGCATCTCTCCTGAGCAGGAAGCTCTGCCAGCCCAGCTGGGCTCTGAGCCAGACGTTATAGTATGAATGGACCAGAATGATGGTGCTGCCCATGACGCTCCACTCCCCAAATACAGTTTCTGATATGCCATAACAAACCACGCACACCGCAACCTGGACAGGTAAGATAACAGCAACAGTTGGGTATAAACACTGATGCCATGTTGTTTTGTTGAACTGTTTGTGTGACATGTACCAGAAACTCTAGCAGTCTGTAGGTCCCATTCACACAGTAGATGACCTCATCCATGTTCTCCACTGGAGATTTACGAAACTCCTCCACCATGAAGAGGACGTAGATGAGGAGAGTACCGAGGACCTAGAGGTGATAGGAACAGTAAAAAATATAGTTTACTGATTTAATTTATCAATGAATCACAAAATATGCTGTTAATGGATGTTGCACAGTTTGGCAAGTTGCATAAAATATGTTAAAAAAAAAGCCTAGTTTAAAGTTTTTTTTACACTTTTTTTTTTGTTTAGTGTTTAACCCTTGTATTGTCTTTTGGGGAAAAATCAGCCACACATTTACTTTTGTCTGAGAGTTTATTCATTTATTTTGGTCCAGTCATCTATTTATTTCTGACAAAGACTAAAAATCCTTCTACTTTTATTTTTCCCCAAATGCTCTTATAACCTCATTGTAACTTTAATACACTTTAAAGTTCCTTATAAGAAAAATCTGCCACAATACAATACATTGTAAATACACATTTTTATCCCGTACTTATCGTATAAAATAATTAATTCCTCTCAGTATTGTATTGCTCTTTTGATCTCTATCCCTATATTTATTTTTATATTAGCTCACTATGTGGTGCTTCACTTTTACATTTGGGAGTCTCTGTAAAAATGTACAGGGTTCAACTCAGTCTGGAAGAAGTCCCTTCTCTAGGCCAGACGTCACAGCAGAGTCCCGCCTCTCATCTCATTTGGAAAAATTGTTTGTTTGGATGAAAGGAGCAAAAACTCATTTGTAATGTGCACATGTAAACATTTAGTACAGAAACGCTGTTTCAAATGATTGCAGGCTGCAGAGTTAAACCGACTGATGGTGATTTCCCCCAAAGCAAGAGAGTATTAGCGGGTGCACCTACAGCTCACTTGTAGGAATGCGCGATATAAACGGTCCAAGGTAGAAACGATAAACATTTAGCCTATGATAGAGATCTGTACTCTACGGCTAACCGCAGTAATGCTGTGTCTGAAGTAAAATCAGAGTTGTCAGTTTAATCGTTACTTTTTTAATTGAAAACTGTGCGTAAGTGGTGTTAAAGTCTTTTCTTCGAGAGCTAAGTAGTGAAGCTACACGTTAACTATGACCGGCTTGCTGTACTGTTGCCATATTCGGACGCATGCACAAAACGCTGTGTTCCATCTAAAGTTGTTTTTTTTCTGTCGAAAGTTAAAGTAAGCGTTGGTCAGCTTTAGAGAAACCTGCTCTCTGATCTGTGAAAAGAACGCTGCGTTGTGTGATTTTACTGAGAGACCCTCTGGTCAAAGCCACAGAGGAAACTGGTCGCCATTTTGTGTCAGCTCTCCTGAAAGCAGAAGGAGACGCCCTAGAGGGTTGGAGGGTGAAGTGTTTCAGTGTAAAATGCTGCTCTGTTGCTGTTCGTTTCTTAAGTGAGAATACTGGAAACTGTTAAGAGTTAACAACATATCCTTTTTATCCTTATCCTATTTTTTTTTTTTAAAGTTCAAAAAAATAATTTTCGTTGTAATAAATGGGGGAAAATGCTTATTTTCACCCCCTTCTTTTAAATGGCCATAAAATAAATATGTTGTCAATTAAACCCAATTAAAAGAAGTTCAGTGAGGATCTATGAATGATCCAATGTTGTCCCAAATGATTGATGATGATAAATAGAATCCACCTGTGTATAATCAAGTCTCCGTATAAATGCACCTGCTCTGTGATAGCCTCAGGGTTCTGTTCAAAGCGCAGAGAGCATCATGAAGACCAAGGAACACACCAGGCAGGTCCGAGATACTGTTGTGGAGAAGTTTAAAGTCGGATTTGGATCAAAAAGAGTTCCCAAGCTTTAAACATCCCAAAGAGCACTGTGCAAGCAATCATATTGAAACGGAAGGAGTATCAGACCACTGCAAATCTACCAAGGTTGAAAAGTTCAAGGGGGATGAATACTTTCGCAAGGCACTGTATATATTCCCCTTCTTCTTTCGGCTGCTCTATTCCTCAGGGGTCACCAAAGCAAACTACCAGTAACTTGTATGAAAACTGAGCAATTGTTTTTACGATGGATCTCCTTCCTGACGCAACCACAAACCACCGAGCTAGCAAAGCCCTTTGTGTGGAGCAGAGCTGAGGTCTAGGACACCCAGGGGAGAGGATGGTGGGGGTTAAGGGTCACACTCAAAGGACGAGAGTGAGGAGAATGAGGGTGGAGGCAGGTGTGGGTGCTTCACCTTTCCCCACCCACATTTTTGATATTGTTGGTCTGGGGGGTCGAACTGGCAACCTTACGATCACAGGCTCACACTAACTAATGTTAAACTAACATGTGTGAGAGCTGTTTTCCTCTCAGGGAGGAGCCTACAGGTGCACCTGATAACTCCAAAGACGCCTCCGGGTCTGTAAGTTGGAAAGCTGAGGTCATCACGCTGATGAGGATTATAAAAACACTTCCTGCCTCACTGTCCGGTGCAGATATTCATGACTGAGAACAAGCATGTAACTTTGCCTACTGTGAACTCTGCCCTTGCAAGTAAAGACCAGTTAAAAATATTCTCATGTCCTCAGAGTGGCTTATTTGAATAAGTAGATAATGAAAGGATATTTATTTATTAAACAATAAATAATCATTTAGATTTGACGTTTTATTCAGGCTGAGACAGCTCTAAAATATTAACAATTGTGAAAACAAATATTAATAAAATAATATTTTAAAGCATTTAAAGAAGGTGGTCAATTTTTCCCCTAGGGAACACAAATGGTCATCAAGTTAAAAGGACAATACAAGGGTTAAAGATCTTGAGAAATTAAAATGTAAATAAAATGCATATATGAGTGAAGGCAGCTGCAGCTGAGGATGTGAATTGTTTTGATGCAAAGTTTTCCCAGCCCATTTATTGATCTCAGACAATTTAGCAAAATGTGTTAATTAGTGTAAGAGTACACACTATAAATCATTAAATGTATAGCATAAAAAGTAGGGATGCACAATATTATCGGCATGGTATCGGCCGATATTAGTGTTAAAGTTCAATATCGGAAATTCCATTAAAATAACTCGCCGATATAAAAGGTGCTGGTTTTGCCAGCAGTGGCAGAACAACGTCATGATGTTGCAGCACAACGCGATGACGTCACGTGCGTCTACCCGATCATACGGCGGAGAGGAAAATTCAAAATGTCGGCGGTGTGGAAGTTTTATTTTTCGTTGGTAAGGATGTTGGATTCCGAAGATTTATGGACTACGTTGAGCCTCGCTACATCGTCCGGTCGGAGATATTTTTCCGACGTAACGTTACTCGAGTTACAAGCCGTCATTTCCAACGTCATTGAGAAGCTAATAGGCGACAACACGACTTGTTGGGTGAGTTTTACCACAGACATTTGGACGTCGTGTTAGCCCCGTTAGCATGATTAGTCTTACGGCACAATGGATAGGCAAAAACTTTAAACTTAAAAAGGCACAAGAGTGCAGAGGATCCCACACTGCAGCTAGGAACCTGGAACAAGCCTCCACAAGTGAGACATCATCACAGGTGACTAATGCTAATAAATGAAATAACACTTTTTATTTACTATAAGTCAAAGTGCTATGCATATCATATGGCTGTTACTGAATATATGTCACCAGCTCTTACAGCTGTTACACAATTTTTGTAGCAAATAAGAGGGCTATGTTCTGACAAAGGAACGTATATAAAATATCAGTATCGGCATGGGTTATCAGCCAAATAAGTTTTAACATATTGGCATATCGGCCAAAAATCCAATATCGTGCATCCCTAATAAAAATGTGAGTTTATAGCTGAATGGAAGCTTCGAGACTTCGAAAACAGTCTACAACAGAAAAGAGCTATAAAAAGTGCCCACATATTTAATGCTCTGCATTACCTGCAGCGAGGTCAGGATTGATGATGAGATGATGATGAGAAGCCAGAAGTCCATGTGGAAGAACTGACAGATCATGTAAGACATGTAGGCTGGAAAGATCAGCAGAAAGAGGCAAAGAGACACCGCTCGAAAGTGCTTCCATAAGCTCCTACACATGAGAAAAATACAAGGCAGTTAGGTTCTTCTGTATCAACAGCAACATTTTGCTAAAAGACACTCTGGTCACAAGCTTTATTTTCAGAACAATGGCCTGCCATTTAATGTTATATAGTGCTGAAGTTTTTTATTTTTGTCAAGTCGCAAAGAGACACAGAGTTTTTGCTCTTAAAATGCAAATGAATATTTTAATATACAACATGCTTCAAGTCTCAGAGAGTAGATACACAAATTACCAAATGTGTGGTAGATTTGACCTACTTGTCTCTGGACGCTCCCAGTGCTAGGACTATCGGGTCAGCAATCTCCAGCATGGACTGCAGAATGGAAGCAACCACGATGAAGAGGATGATGGAAAGGAGGAAGGCTCGGTGGATGACCTGCAGCTCTATCAGACCCGTTTGCACAGCAAGAATAAGCAGGGTGATGCCTTCAGTCATCCCTCTGTAGAAATGTTAAACAAATAATAATAATAAATTATTAGACACACTCCAACAAATACATTTAACATTTAAATCTCACACACACATTGACCAACCTGTGCATGGTGTTGTCATTCATAAAGGCTCTGTAACCTTGCAGGTAGAACTTGCACAGAGTGAGAACTCCCAGCGCAATGAAGGAGACGGTGAAAACCAGACCCAGCAAGGAGTATGGAGTACTACAACATTCTGCAACACTGATGACATGAAAGGAGGAGAGTGCAGGGGGAGCAGAGAGAAGATTGAACACTAGTTATAAGAGAAGGAACGAATTAAAACATTTCTATAGGCTGAAGTTATTTCTGATGTACGTGTTACCATGGTGAACCAGACATCACTGTCATTTACTTTATTAAAAAAACTAATTTAATACTGTCCTATTTGTACAGCATTTTAGTGAAAAGAGGGTTAAACATAAAAGGTAAATATATAAAACAAAATAAACATGCAGTTGTTAAGTCGATGCTAGAACTGGAATTTATTGTAAACAAGATATGAGAGGTAAGTGTAACTATGGACCTATTAAGCCCTGGTTATACTCGATGTAAGACATTGGCTCTCACTGACATGATTGCAAGGCCATCTCTCTGACATGGACAATTCATACTCAGAAAGAAACTGCGTGGGAGAACTCCTGGTGAGCCCTCCCACTGCACTGCAGCACACGTCACGCACAAACAGAAACAACAGAGCAGCAGCACGGTTGACAAGAGTGGATGTTTATTTTCAGTTGATGATGACGGAGTTGGAGGAGGAAGAAATGGCATTTCTGTTGTTAACCGAGAAGAAGGGTTATTCTGTAAAATTTGTCACAAAGAGATTGCCACAGTTTCCAACTAACAGTGCGGGAACATGACCCTGTCTGGTCGAGGTGCACTCCCTCCTGCTCATGTCAGCCATGACTGCTCGGGAAAGGAACACTCGCAGACAGCACCGCCATTGAGCCTCCTCCACGCATAAAAAACTATCTTTATGTTATTTGAGCATCTTTATACATTTAGCTGGAATATTGTAAAAATGGCTGCATTTTCTAACAGCCTCGGTCGGCAGCTCCTCAGTGGAGCAGAAACTAAATCAGTTGACTGCAGTCACTTTCCACATAAACACGCCTATGACCACATGATACTTGGAGCACACCTCTGCGAGACAATATTTCTGACAGGGGTATAGTGTCTCAGGGAACGCGGGAGAAGAAAAATTCTTAATTTTCGTCACACAAGCGGTCAGCGAGACAACATCTGCACTTTTCAACAAGTGTAAACCAGGCTCTAGTCCTAATTTCACCAAGTGGATCATTGAAGTCTACCCAATATATTCCTAAACTGCTTGGTTAAAATGTTTATATTTTGTTGCAATAAGTTCAAAAAGCATCACTCCATCACCTACATTTAAATAGCTTTAGTTGTATGACTGTTGATTGATCAGTCCATTCAATAATCAGATCCATAATACAGTCGGTCACCACTTTACAAAGAGCAGGGCTCAGACTAAGAAAATTAAGTGATGTACACCAGGATGTCCCTCACAGTCTGAACCATGAGGTTATTGTCTCACCTTGTAAGAAAGAGGAAAAGAAGCCTCTCCCTTGAGGTAGGCTGGTCTCTGGTGCTGAAGTAGGTGTAGATCTGCAGAGCAAAGAGCACGAGCCAGAAACACATGAAGAGAACTGGAAGAACCAGCTGGTTCCACAGAGACATGCCTAAAGCAAGCAGGCCATACACTTCTACCACCTGAGGGGAAACGGAGACACAGAAACAGAAGAGGAGAGATGGCTGTATTAAGGTCACTCACAGAACAATAACATTACAAAGAAATATATCTCAAAACAACACACTGAAAACTTGAGCAACTTTTAAAATGTATTACCTGAGCCAGCTCTCTGTAGGCAGTCTTGGCCAAGTTATATGGTACGAGTAAGTTTGTAGCCAGGAAGTAAATGACCTCCAGGCCCGTGAAGATCATGGAGAACCTATTGATGAAGACAATGGTCTCCAGTGGGACCAGACAGAGCCTAGCCACCAGGGGAAGAAAGTGAGCAGAAAAAAGCCAAATCCTTTTAGTCTGCATCACACAGGAGCACAGCGTACACACCACCAGCTGACCTGATGCATGAACAAACAAAGATATAAATATAAACACACCGTTATCACAGTATTCTTATGAAACTGTAAACATTTATTTTCAGATTCACTGCAATTTTTTGTGTATCTGGGAATAAACCTTTCATTTATTAAAATATCAATCAGTCTCAAAATGGTGATGACAGAATGGAAGTTCAAATGGGAAAAGAAGTATTGAATCCTCATCGTTCTCTGAAACAACCATTTTCCTTTAGTAGCATTGCTATTTTTGCTTTATCAGACTTTCGCTGTGTTGAGGAGTCAGCATTTTCTATGATCTATTTATAACTCAGGAGACTCCATCCCTCTTCTCTAGTAAGTTGAAACCAGGTCTAATAAAGCAAAAACACTGCAGCATTTTCTTTTTAACCCATCCTATTTTAACAATAAAAGATGTGCACTTGGTCTTCAGATGGATGCATTCAAAGAATGACCAGTTCCAGGGATTAAAGAGAAAAAAATACTATTTTTTTCTGCACCTGGAGATTAAGTGCAGAGCAGAAATCCACTCCCCTACCCCCAAATGCCACATTTGATATCGTATTTCTGCAAGTGTACTGTTTACAACATACAAAAAAATGTTCTCTAATGAATCATCCAAGATGTAAGAACATGCACCATTTACATCCTAAAGACCAATGACATTTAAAAGAAGATAGTGATTTTAATAACTTTTCTATAGTTTACTTTAATGTCATTTCAGTGTTTTCAAATTGGTAGGTTGTCATAATAAAAAAAATATATAGCACAGGTGAAGTGGTCTATTGCACTGTACAAAATAATTTACATTTTTATTTGCTAGACTGACATATTTGACACTTTAATGATTATTTCATTCAATTAGTAACAGGACTTATTATAATTTATTTTTCTTATTTGATCATTTATTGAATTACATTTATCACAGTAAATACCTCTCATTATGGTTCAAAATATAAGCTAGCTTAGCACATTCAAACAGCCAAACAGCTTGCTATTGCTATAATGCTGTGTAGAACTGAATTTTGCAGATAGTTATGATAAAACTACAAACACTTGAAACTGACTCTCACAGAGAGAACTTTGTGAGTTTTTTGGGGGGAAAAGTTACACAAAGATACATTTTTACTATAATCTGGGGCATCCAACTATTCATCAAAGTTAAGTCAGGTCCTCTGGATGGATGCAAAAGGTAAAAAGTAAAAATAAAAGTGAGGGTGATGACACGTTTTGTTCACCCTCCTCATTTTTACAAACGATGGAAATCCATCCCAGCCACATTCAAAATAATGGAAATCCACTGTGGCTACGGAGACCTTTAATCCCTGTGGTTCCTATTGTATATATATAAACAGATTAATTATAGTGTTGCAAAGACAGATTTTTTTAAACATTTAATAGTACTTCAAGTGGTGGAAAAATCAACTGAACCTATTTTCCCATACTAAATATTTTCCAAACGCAAACACAAGCAAGAAAACGCATGCTCAAGTTATTAAAGAAGGAACAAACAACTAGTGTCATGAGTATCGTCCTGCCTGTGGCTCTGTGTGTATACACTACACGCAGTGTCTCTGTGCGACTCATGTAGTGTTATACCTATAAGTGCAGTGGTAAATCTGTTCATAGAGAGAGGCTCCACGTAGACAGGTCCTTCAAAGCCTGAATCCAGTTCACTGCGAACATAATCTCTGGGGAAAAAAAGGTCATAAAGCTGAGCACAAAGGCCATTATATTGTGAGCTCTTACATAACACAGTAAAACAACCCCACAAATGTCCAACTCTTATTTATATTAGCCAGAATAGGCAAACTTAGACTAAGAAATTATCTGACAGAAAACACTATATTGTAGTTTTAAGTGTGTACATATCTAAAAATGAGAAGAATTTAAACAGTGGCCATAATTGTGCTTTATATGATCAAGGGAATATAAATGTGTGTTTGTACCTTGACACTTGATGACCAGCAAAGAGCAGAAGGGCCGTGAGAACATACAAGTAGAGCTTAACCAGGTGCTGTCTAGGCAGAGTCAGAAGCACCAAACTCAGGATGTAGCCTGTCAGGAAGTCACAGATGAAGGTGAGAGATGAATTATGCGTAATTTAAAAGAACTACTACAATTTCCCGTTTGTAGATCTCTCTAATAATGGTCAGAAACTAACATGTTCAATATGGATGTGTGAGACAAATGATTTATGTAATTGCAAGGTAATATTTTTAACAATACAAGTTTTCAGTTAGATCTACTGAGCAACCAGTTCATTTCAAATGTAAAATGGATCACAAAAGGCTAAAACAGCCTTATCATAAATCAGTCTACAACCTAAAACCCTTTTCACAAGCACAACAACCGTTCTGGTTTTGCTCCCTTGCTTTCTCTTTATTCCACCAGTCCACCCACAGTACTCATCAGCACATAGCCTAATGACTCAATAGCCAAGTGAAGTCAAGTTTGATTGAACACACTGCTACATAAAGCAGAGGCAAGGAAACATTAACTCTGTGGTTATTGGTTATTTTCCACTAAGTTGAATTCAACTGGCAATAAAATGTTACTGTCTAAATGTGACTTTATGGTTGTGTGAATCTTATGCTGCTTTGGCCTCGTTTAATGTCTTCACAGTCACATTTGCATTAAGCAACATACCTGAAAATATAAATACATTTCAAGCCAAAGCTGACAGCCAATCAGTCATGATTTAAGCTGCATAATAATTTGGAAATACTGTTTTTAAGATATGCTTCACTGATGGAAACTTCTGCATTTCACTTCACTGCAAACAAGTTTGCAATGAACAAAAATAACCAAGAAATGTAACTTCTATTCAGTAGTTGATGATGTTTTGCTTCCCCTACAAAGAGTATGATATTCTTATCTAATGCTCAGAGCACATTATCTCTAAATTTTAGTGAAGTTTAATGAAAAAAATAATAAGAAAAACTGTGTTGATCCTAGGGCTGGACGATACGGCCAAAACTTTTATCACAATATATTTCTTAATTTCAGTCGATAACAATATAATTAGATATCGATATAAACAATATAAAAGCCTCAGAATAACTGTACAAACAAATTAATATTCACACTTCATTTGTATTTGTTTCAGGGACACGTTGACTCAAACTTTTATTATGCTTCATCTTCTGACTCTCAGCATATTCTATCGAGTGGAAACTCTTAAGATGGAACAAGTTAGGCATGTTCCCACCGCTAGCTGGAACTCCGTCACATTTTGCAGCACACTGAAACCTGCAGTTTATCGGCTCTTAGAAAGTCGAACCACTTCCACACCGCCGAATTAGTCTTTCCTCTCTTATCAATTATGTCATCTGCTTTCTCTTCACTAGTGAAAGCTTGTTCAGTCACATTCTGACAGTCATGGGCACTCATTTTGAAGCGAAAACTTAACACGCATCGGAAATTAGCCTAGCCTGCTACCGCTAACTCCTTCTGGACTCGAGCTCTGCGTAACATCTACGTCACCACGCACTGACGTAGTTGTGTCGCACTTTTTTATGTCTGGGTTGAAACTGAAGCGGCCGCTTTAACCCAAACAGAAAAAGAAATGCGTCAGTGAAACGCTGTAATCATATCGAAATATCAAAAATGCGCTTAAAACTCAAATCACTGTTATTGAATAAAAGTGTATCGCAACATATATCGATATCGAATTATTGTCCAGCCCTAGTTGATCCTATAATGGCATTCCCATTATTACAAAAAGACAAGATTTTTGAACTTTTTCCTCACAATAAAAACTTCACTAGAAGGTGGAAGAAGAATGCAAGTGAAATTGAAAAAAGACTAATCAAAAGTGAGCCAAAAGCAACAGACATCATGATTTCAGGAGGTCTTTCCCTCAAAGCAACTAGAGAACTAGTTGTTCTTTTTGTTTTTTTGACCACTAAGAAGCATCTTACATAGCATCACTTAAATATAGTAATAATTAAAAAAAAGATTTACTTCAGCAACTAGGGCAGAGCTATAGAGACAAACTAGACTACCAGTACATAAAACCTAAATAATGTGTGGGAACTGGAAAAAAAAAAAAGAGCCAATCTAGATTAAAGACACGGCTTTCACACTCAGATGAAGTCAAAGCAGCACTTTAAGCAGACAAGCTCAGTTACTCATCATCCTGCTTTTTAATGTTTTAACATCACAGTGATGAGAACTGACATCGCTACAAGACAGACAGCTTTCTACTGATACATGATGCTTCAACTGGATAAAACGTGCATCAAAATGGGGCAAATGTGTTCTTTATATTAATTTGAAAAGGGGAAAAATTGGGTTTTCAACTGTAAAACACTGTGCGTGTATGTGTGTGTTTGAGTGTGTGCGAGTTACCCCAACACTGACCTACGTAGTGCAAGTAGAGTGCCAGATATTTGTACTGAAACAGAGGATTGTTGGAAAGGCTGGAGCGCTGGATTTTCTGGAAGAAAGAGCTTACATCCCAGCGGTACAAAACGTCAAGCAGCATGATGCTGGGAACACGCAGACCCACGTTGAGCACCGCCTCTACTCGGTCCTTCAGTGCCATGGCCTCAGGTTAACTTCTGATCAGCAGGCAGAACTGACCACTAAGACGGGATGTTGAAAGCGGGTTGTCTGAAGAGAAAGATTAGAAATTAATTACAAATCATAAACCAGAAAAACAACAATAAAAAAAACAAGAAAGTTACGACAAAAGAGCGGGCTTAATGAAGGTCACAGAAAACCAAAGAGCCACAGGGGAAATTACATGAGACCAAGTTTTAACAGCTGCAGAAAAGCAGAAATACATGATCTCCATGAGCATAAAAACCAACACTGAACATTGTTTTAATGGTTCCAATCTTTATCAGAGCCCTAAAACAATTACCATAACATTTATAGTTCCATCCATGTTGAAAAAGGAGAATTTGCCATTTAATATATTCACTAGTCATTAAACTAATCTAAGTAACTGTTTTCAGCTGAACTTTTTAACTTTAAACTATCGTGGAAATGTAATCCAACTATCCAGTCTTAGCACAGCATTGCTTTGCATAGGTAAATATAAAGTGTCAGTAATCTATGTGCAAATGATTCTATGAACTGACTGTTTCTGCCTCCCACATTCAAACAAACAGAACAAAACTCATGAGCTCAACAACAGCAACTGCGAGAATACATTAAGTACAAACTGCTTCATTTGTTTATGTCTCATCTGATGGAAAAGGTCTGGCAAATAAATATTCTCTTTCAAGGTTGACTGATAAAAACAGTCAGTGTTAGATGACACTGCTAATGACTAGTTTTAACTAGTTGCTAATGGCGTTTTGTTACACAAAAATATACACTCAGTTTTTACTGTAGTCTTGTTTGAGCTACCTATAAATATTTTTTGACTACTAATTAGTTTCTTCTTTTTTTCTGTTCGTTGTGAGCTGTGTGTGTAGAACAGCAAATTAGACCCACTGTTGCAAGCTCCCCTAGAGTTCTGATCAATTAAATCAATATCAATCACTTTGAGAGTAAAGCAGAAACACCTAATCACAGAGTCCCACTTGAATCTTTTCTAACAGTCAAAAATTATTAAAAGCATCTCGTAGTGATTATCTGTTTTTCTAAGGCAGCATAATTATGTTTTTGTTTTAAGAGGTGATTCTGCCCTCATGCCCAAACTATTCAAAGTAAAGCTACTTTCACGTGTGTGTGAATACTTAAGGACCTTAATTAAAGTATAAACCAAACTCTCCTACACAAGCAACAATATTAAATACAAGCTCGGACATAACACTTACGTTTAGCTTTGCTTTAAAGTCATGAAAATAGTGATTTTTCCCCATCTTCTACTTGTAAGTTACCATTTGTTGTTATCCTGCAGCAGTGGGACAGCATCCTAAGAACTTACATAACTGATTTCAGTGCAGCGACTGTGTTACATTATGTAACATACAGTGGACTGCTACCAGTTTATCTGTCCAAATCCATTCATGACAATATCTGGGCATAATTTGAAGAGTATGGGTATTCTAATTGCACGAAATCTTAAGAGTTGATTTTAAAAACTGTCATTTATACACACATGCAAAAACACACACACAGTATACATATACACACACATACATATATACATATATATATTCTCATAAATAGTTACATAAATGAACCAGCAGAAAAATCACTTTCACAAATCACAAAGCTTACATAACTATAAATTATAGCAACAACTTTTTGCGTAATTTCATCAAGACGATTTATCTGAAAAATGTGTGCAAAGTTCATTCGTTTGAAATTAAAAAGAACAAAGCTTGTCTCATTCCTAAATAAAGTGCATTTTAGTATGTTTTATATAATGTAAGTTAATAATTTTTGACAACTGACATGTATTCTAATTTCTAACAATTTGAAAAACAAATAAATTTCCTAAGTTTCATAAAATCAAAAGACAAACACTTAACCGTATACTATGCCAACGTGTACGCTGGTCTCTCTTGTAAACGAGTCCTCGAGGCTCAATGGGATTAACCTGTCTAAGTACAGGTTGAATGAATTCAGTACTGTGTAGCAACAGCACTTTAGCTGTACTGTACTTGTTTAGATGAAACGTGGATGCAACATAATATTCAGGCAAATCAGCTCATTTTTTTTATCCTAAAAATATATATTCAGCTGGAAAAAGTTTATTGTGATGGTTGTCTTTCTGAATGAAATATGGTCATATTATTGGTTGCCAAAACAACAGTCACATGTCAGGTCACAATACAAAATATGCATTATATATATATAGTCTAGCAAATTCAACACAACTAGGTACCACCATGTTTGGTCATGTCAACCGAAACAGAAACATAAGGATATAAATACAGAAGCTAAATACATTTCACGTTGCTAGTTTGTTTTTGTAAATGTGCACTGAAAATATCCTGCATGAGTGAGTGCTGCATCGACGCTTGTACGTGCCATGAACTCTAGTAACCCCTCCGTCTCGACAGGGGGAAAAAATCTCCAAGCTACGCTGCAAAATAGAAAGCGACGCTTTGCTAGGTGGATTAGCTCGTGTGTTTAGTAATATGTAGCGGAGACAAAGCAAATGTAAGCCCTCCTCTAGGCAAAAGGCAATCACAAAATAATGACCACGTAAGGAATACAAACATGTTTCAAATAGACAGAAGTGACAGCGAGAGTACGCGCTTTGTGGAAGTGATGAGCTGCATTGAGCAGGCGCTGGCGCAGTGGCAACAATTAAGCTAACCTAGCATTGCTGTCGGTTAGCCAAATTAACAACATCAACACAAACGTTTGGTCTACAAACACTACATTAAAGTTCGTACATTAAACCGTTTAATAGTTAGAGCCAAAACAACTGAATCAATTCAAGTTCAGTGTTACTCTAAAGCGAAACTAAACAAGCGGATCACGGCTAGCAGTAGTTGTTGCGCTAAGTCAAAATTTAACAGGTAAAAATAGAGAACTTACTTTTTAGGGAGGATGTTCGCAACTTTAAAAAAGAGTTTCCGGGTGCCTGTTTGGTTGTGTATCGACCATTTTAACTCGGCACCGCCCGAGATAACGGTCCTCCAGATGGGTGTGCTTCACAGCAAAAAGACGCGAGCCATCCGTTCATCTTCCCTGGCAGCCATTAACCAGAGCGCCTGGAGGATGTACTGGGCATGCGCACTCGGGTCTGCCCATTAAATCTTTCAAACTCAGTTTAAATACAGAGATCCCCATAGGACGTTGTTTGTTGTGCCTCCGTCAACAGGCTGGGAAAAAGCGGGGGTTATACATTCAACCAGTTTGACATGACTGCCCTAACACCTTGTGCATAGTGTCTTTTTCCAAATGTGTGTATTCTGCTTCTTTTTGGATTATTTCATGTGTTTTTTCCTGTATTATTAGATCATGCTCCTGGATGCCTCGAATACCCTCCTGATATTCTATCTATCTATCTATCTATCTATCTATCTATCTATCTATCTATCTGTCTATCTGTCTATCTGTCTGTCTGTCTGTCTGTCTGTCTGTCTGTCTGTCTGTCTGTCTGTCTGTCTGTCTATTTATCTGTCTGTCTGTCTGTCTATTACTGTTGTTGTTTGTTATTTGTTACGTTATACATATACCAATTTTAAATCGAATTATTTCCCCACTGTCTTTAAATGAAAAAGAACTTTGAGAAAAAAAAATTCTTAATTTTATTCACAATTAAAAACATAAACATTTAGTTTAAGGACTCTCTGGATTTTAATTTTTTTAATCACATGTAGAAAACAATAAAACAAATGTAGAATTAGTTTTTGCCTTTGTATTTTTAGTCGTGTAAAAATGATTTACTGTAATGTTTTTATTTATGTATTTATTTTTTGGCTAAAATAAGTCGCATGCAATTGTTTATGCTTTTCCCTCGTCAGAGGTCGCCACAGGGAGACCAACTCTCATTTTGATCAGCGCTGAAGGACGGTCGCCATGGTAACACCACTTTTGTACGTCACTTCCGGAAATGTTGTGGACGCCCGGAAAAGCGTTGTTTGCGTTTCTGTATGAATGAAACTGAAGCTCAGACTTCACTCACTCAGTAACTCTTTCAAGGAAATATTTAATTATTTGTCAAGCATTGAGTGTTAGTTTGTTCTGTCAGGTAAGAGCACCCAAATTATATTTTTTAGTTAGTTAAGTAAAGTTTACCCGGCGTGTTTTCATCGCTGCTAGTGAGTGTTAGCTACCACAGGCTAAAAATAATCTAGGGCAGTTACAGCGTTTGCTCTGCTTAAGTAGCTTTGGGCTTTAAATACTCAAATAAACAACACTGATAAGGTGTTTTGTTACTTTATGTACATCGATTGCTTTTAGCTGTTTATAGTTACAGTCCTGCCCACTCCCTTGTCTCTTCTCTTTGCAAGGTTTGCACGTTTTTAACCGTTCCAGGTGAAGTCGCGCGACTGCTGCTGAAAATACTGTGTGAATAAGCCGCGTGTATGTGCGTGAAGAGCTTGTGTAAGCCATGTCGGTATCAGTGATCATAAAGTGGGGAGGACAGGAGTTCTCCATCAATTCTCTGTCTGAGGAGGACACAGTGATGGACCTAAAACAGTCCATTAAGACTTTGACTGGAGTGTTGCCAGAGAGACAGAAACTTCTTGGACTGAAGATCAAAGGTGAGAAGGAACTACTATTCCTGTATAAAATTAGAATGCAACACTTTGGTATTTTATTTGAATAAATATTCTTTATGTGGGAGAAACTCATCAGCCCATTTCTGCAGGCTATAAAAATCTACACGTGCATTAATGTTTACATATAATTTTTGAAAAAGTGTGTTAATTTTTTTTTTTTTGCACTAATTTTTCTTTCTTTTTGTCTTGTTTGTTCTTGTCTTCAGGTAAACCTGCAGAGGATGAAGTGAAGCTGGGTTCTCTGAAACTAAAACCTAACACCAAGATTATGATGATGGGTACCAGAGAGGAAAGTTTGGTAGGTGGAAGGGAAGTTACTGTTACTTCTCTATTGATTAGATGTGAACAGGATGAGCAACTTGTTCATTGAAGGTTTTACCACATATTGAAACAAATCATTAAATCCTGGTTGTTTGAGACACTGGGTCACAAATTTGATTATACAAGTTGTCCTGAAAGTTGCTTAGGTGATTAATCTTCCATGATTCTAAACTTACCTGTGCTTCTATTTTGTTCTGTAAAGGAAGATGTTTTAGCCCCTCCCCCTGAAAATGATGATGTCGTCAATGATTTTGATATTGAGGAAGAGGTTATAGAAGTGGAGAACAGGTTAGGTATTTTATTGAATATTTGGCTGAAAAGTCTTGATAGAATATGAGAAAATGTTACAAAAAATATGTATATGTTAATATAAAATGTTATTTTTTCTTTAGAGAAGAGAACCTGGCTAAAATAGCTCGAAGAATAAAAGAATATAAAGTAGAGGAACTGAACCCTCCTAGAGAAGGCAAGAAACTCCTGGTGTTGGATGTGGACTACACACTGTTTGGTGAGTTGTCAGTAAGTAGGAGTCTTAACTGAGATGCTACCGTTTTGCTGTGGCTCATCTCATTGCTGTGGTTTTAGCTTATAGATTGTGTGTTTTTCTGTCTGTATTGGTTATCAGACTGCTTTGTGAAACTGAAATCCATCCCCTACATTTTATCTTATCAGTTGTTTCTCTTATCTTGGGCACTTTGAATCAATCCTATGTGTGTTTAGACCATAAGTCATGTGCGGAGACGGGTCAGGAGCTGATGAGACCATACCTTCACGAGTTTCTGACATCAGCCTATGAGGACTATGATATTGTCATCTGGTGTATGTATCTTCTCTGCTCTTCCATTGGTTACAAAACGTTTGTTAAAGGAAATAAATAAAAGCACACTCTGATTTTGGTGTGTAATGATTTATTTAATCATTCAGGCCAAAATGAACATTTGAAACTCATTGTTCTCTGCTTCAGAGAAAAAAGAAAAGAAAACATGTGATAAACTTGAGTCAACCTTTTATTTAATTTTTTTCTGTAGCTTGTGCTAATGGAAAAAAAGAGTATGAATATCCAAGTATTTGTTTAAACTTTAATATTCATGCTCTCTTGTTTGTTTTTATAGCTGCAACAAGTATGAAATGGATAGAAGCCAAGATGAAAGTAAGTATTTCCTTCTGTTTTTTGCATTCTCGTGCCTGTATGTTGTTTGCCTAAACCAGACAATTTCAAACTTGTTTTAAAATGTAACTAACAAAAAGAGAAAAAGTTGTTACTCTTTCTTGAATCAGTTTTTTTAACCATTCAGTACGGTAATCGTATTACAAGAAACAAGAAATCAAAATAGATCTAAATAAAATTTTGTTTAACAATTGCATTAAATAACCAACAAATGATTTCCTTATATAACTCATAATTTTTCAACTGCAAATCTAATTTAAAAAATTTCTATCTTCTTCCAGTTTTCGTTGCTGTACTATACATTTACCACAAGGTGGCAGTGTTGAACAATTTAACTTAAAGAACTTTAATGTGCTGTAAATGGATTAGAATAACCCAGCTGTGTGTGCTGTGTTTGCAGGAATTAGGAGTGACAGATAACCCAAATTACAAGATTACGTTCATGTTGGATAGTGCAGCTATGATCACGGTACACACCCCAAAAAGAGGGGTGGTGGAGGTGGGTCCCTACAAAATGTTTCAAACATTATTACTTCTGCAAATGTGTTTCACAAAAATATATATAAATATAT